CTAGAAGTTATGCTTTAAAACTACTATATAAAAAAAAAAATCTGTAAGTCTAAGGGCTAAGTTTCAAAAATACGCTTGCTAGTAAAAAAAAAAAATAATTTAGGCACTAGATGAGTAAATTCGGAAAATTCTAGGCAGCTATCACAATTTGCTCATAGGATATCTAGGTTTTTGCGCTCCAGTTTTTTTAAACAACAATGCCCAAGAATATCAAAAATAAAGAAATAAAATTTAATTTCGAAATTCCTTATTATTAAAACTTTCTTCTTTTTCTTTAAGATTTTATCCAATGAAGACTTTTTGCGTTGACCTTCATTTTAGTAACTGCACAGTTCACACCAAACTCAAATCTGACATTATAAAAGTATTGGTAAAAAAATCCTCTCTTTGAGTTTGTCAAGTTTACTTATCTTATGATAACACCATAACCCCTCCTATGGTGGAGAGAATAACATGATAAATATAACTTAGGATAAATATAGTTTTAAAGCGAAAGAAATGTATTTCCTTAATGAACTTAACGTTGAGCGATTATAAAATATTCCTGAGGGAATATACCTCTCTGTTTCGAGCTAATAAATAAAAAAGATAACAATTTTAGATTTCTTGTTGCTAAACATTATCAGCAGTCAATGATATGCATGTCTTGAGTAATAGTGAAGTTTTTTGAGTTTGTATTCAATCTGTAACTGATTGAACCAATGCAATGAGGCTGCATGAGCCAAAACATATTTTTCATTGCCATTATGTTTCTGAAAAAATTGGACCAACCATTTAAATTTACACTTATTGATTTACACCTCTTATTTAACACTAATTTCACTTTGTCTAATATTGATTTAATGTTTTGGTAAAAGGAAGCAAAACATAAGCAAACATAAACTATTGGCTTATATAAATATATGTTTTGCTTTTTCATAATGCTTGAGAGCATCAGATTTTTAAATCTGTCATTTGAATATTATGAGTCAATACATAGTTAGAACAGAATTGTTTAAGGTGAAGTCTTTCTTTTCATCAATAACGAAATTGGAGTTTTTCTAAATTCTCAATAACTAGATGTATTTTGGAAAGAACCAAAAACTTTTAAAGCTGTATAAAACAGGCTTCATATTCTATATATATATAGGTATATATAATGCAAAAATTATTAAATGTTGCTGCTTTTAACATTTTATTTAACATTAACTGCTATTAACATGTCGTTTAATTCAAAAAAAAACAAACAAACGGTGTTGATAGTATTCAACCCAAACCAGTGATGTAAGATTGGGTCAAGTGATGTAAGATTGGTTCCACTGTTTACCTTAGCTAGTTGTAAACTAGTTTTCATTAATAAATTCAAGTATCTGGGTCACTTAATAGAAAATGGTTTGTTTGATAATGCTGATATAAATTAAAAGAAATAATGTCTTTATACGCGTACAATCATATTAATCAGACAATTCAAGAAATGCTCGAATAAGCTAAAAGTGTAGCTATTTAAGACCTACTGCGTCTGTTTTTACGATGTGGCTCCATGGACTAATGTCTTAGTGTGTCAGTACTTGCATGACTAATGTATTGGTACAAATGTTAAAACTAAACTCTTGTTACAAAAAATTTACTAAAATGTTTTTTGAATATGACAAGTACCCTAGCACTACAAATATGTTTATCGTACTAGGCTTTCCTAATCTAGATGCTTTATTGACTAAGCCTTATATATCAGTTAGTTAGCTGCGCCAGCAGCAACTTTTTATTACATTCTCAACTCAACTAATTTAAGCCCAATAATGAAGACTAAGGTAAACAAATATATACGTCCTACATTAGTTCATATTACAGTAAATAAAATGCAGAAAGCATTTCCAGCAGCTGAAGCTTCACTACTACCTTGGCATTGTTTATATATTTAAAAAAGGTTTTCCATCTAAAAATTAAAAGAACAGATCAAACCTTTTTAAACCTTTCGAAATAAAATTTAAACTAGTTTTAATGAAACAGTCAAAATTATTGCCATTGTCAATAACAAAATACTTTGAAATAGTTAATAAAAAGATTTTTAAATAGATTAATTGTCGTGGCTAATATATATATATATATATATATATATATATATATATATATATATATATATATATATATATATATATATATATATATATATATATATATATATATATATATATATATATATATATATATATATATATATATATAAATGAAATGAAGGCACCTGAAATAAAAAAAAAAAAGGTCCTTTATATATAATATAGGAAATAAATTAGGGCACCAATCAGAATTGCTGTCCCAGGCGGCGTGACTCTCGGCGGCTCTGAGTACAATCTCTCTAATTTAAATTTGATGGGCAAATATAAAAGTTCTAGTTTGAGAGATTTTCAAATTATAGAAAGTTGACTACTTTTCAAATATTTTTTTCAAAGTAACAAATAGAAATCAAACAAACAAAGAAATAGTAATTCTTAGGCCTATAAACAATATATGTTATGTGTTTTAAACTTTTAAATTTGAAAAAAAAGGCAGTAAATGTAGATTGTCTTTTATGAGCTAGTAAATTTATATCAAAGACACGATTTATATCTTTAAGAGCCTTTGTCAAATTATCTTTAAATTAGTTTGGTTTTTCCTAAATTAGTCTAGCTTCCTTCTAAAGCTTGAAAATTTTTTGACGCATAACTCTATTGCATAATATAAACCTCTTTCTTTTACCAGCAAGTCACTAATTCGTACAATATAAACTCTCATTCGTTTGAAACATTTAAGTGCAGCTTTGATTACTAGATACGAATAAACTTTCATCTGTTTAGTCAAATTTCCTTGACAAAAACCGTCAAAGATTATTTCTATATTCTTTTTCCAGGTTGAAAGAGTGTTTGGTGGAATATCAAAAATTTTCGAAACCTACTTATTTGTTTTTCCTTTCTTCAATTCCATTAGAGTTTTTTTATTTCCGCTTTAAATTGTTTTCTTTATCTCTCTTTCATGCGGCATCAATAATGCCATTACTTTTTTTAAACAGTATAATTTTCCCTAATTGTTTTTCAAAAACTCGCAATATTTGAAATTGGAAAATTTTTTTAATGTTTTAATGAGCTTTTTACACGTACACGAAGTTAAACAAGTTCGATTTAAGTTTCTTACTGATGGGTCTAAAAATCCATTCGAATTGTGGAGGTTTTCAAATTATAGAAATTCGAATTATAGAAAGTTAAACGTAAGTGTGTTTCTTAAGCGCATTTCACGGTGACTTTGCATTTAATCGAATTAAGGAGGTTTTCAAATAATGGAGATTCGAATTAGATAGATAGTACTGTATTATTATTTTTAAACACTTTAGGGGCTGTCCATTAATCACATCAACAAATTTTGGGAAATTTTTACCTCCCCCCTCCCCGTTGTCAACAATTTGTCAAATTTCCAGACTCCCCCTAAAAAATTACTTCAATATTTGATTACCTCCCCCATTCCTCCTAACAAAGACAAAATCAGCATAATTTTCCGTTATTTAAGCAATGAAACTCAAAAATAAAAAAATTATTAACATCATTTAATTGACTTTCCCCCTCCCCCTTGTCAACAATTGTCAAAAAAATTCAAACCCCTACTCATCCCTATTTTGTTGACGTAATTAATGGACAACCCCTTTGTCCAAATCCTCAGAATGTCTAAAAGAAAAATGAAAAGATTGTCTGGAGCACAGTATAAAAGATAGCGAGAAGAAAAATAAAATGAATGTAAAAAAAATCTTTTTTCGATTCATTTTATTTGATAAAAAATAGATTTGGAAAAAGCAAAACCATCAGAAACGGAAAATGCTTGTAGTAGGCAAACAAATTTAAGTAGTGAAATTTTTTCTAATAAAAATAAAAATGAGTTATTAGCAGAAAATACTAATGACAATACTATTAGTAATGATAAAATAGGTAATAATGCAGTTACAAATATCGATCATATCACGGGAAATGCTTGCAGTAGGCTAGTAAATCCAAGTAGTGATTTTTTTTCTGAAAATGCAAATGCTTGTGGCAATATTGCAGTTGCAAATATCGATGATATCACTAAAATTGATGAAGCATATTCTGCTATGTGTCTAAAACTAAATGATCCAGTTTGATGGCCTTTAACACTGTTTTAATCGAAAAAGGTCCTATTCAAAATATAGAATCTACATATCCAGAAAATAGATTGGGAATATCTTTTTCAAAGGTTTATTTCTATAAATAAATGCCAAATGGTGAAAAATTTAAACGTAAGTGGTTTATCTATTCTCCGAAAAATAATGCAATGTTTTGTTTCTGTTGTAAATTATTTAGCAAACAAAAAATGAAATTGATTAATGAAGCCTTCAACGATTGACAACACACATCTAAAAACTTATCTGGTCACAAAAAAAACAATGCACATCAAAAAACTGCACTCATTAAAAAGAATTGAAATTAAATTTAAAAAGAAAAACTAGAATTGATAATAATATGCAAAGATGATGATGATGAGAAAAATATGCAAAGATTATGATGATGAGAAAAAACTATGGTGTCAAATTGTCACACGCATGATATCTAGTACAATTTCTAGCAAGACAGTGTTTCGCTTTTAGAGGTTCTTTGAGCAAATTTTACAAAAAAAATAATTGAATTTTTTAAAAACAATTGAAGTTATAGGAAAATTTGATGGTATAATGCTAGACCATATAAAACACATACAAAAAACAATCGTTTTAAAGAACCACATGCCACATTACCTTGTAAATTGCTTTCAAAATGAAATAATCACTATCCTTGCAAATCAAATTCAAAAATATATATTAACATAAATAAAAGAAGCAAAATAATTTTCCGTCATTTTAAACTGTACTCCAGATGCTAGACATGTCGAGCAAATTACAATGATCTTCAGATATATATATATTAAAAATAATAAAATTGAAGTAAGAGAAAATTTTATTGGTTTTTATCAAGCTGAAAAAAGTACTAGAGAATCTTTTTATGATTTTTTTTTGAATTAAATATTAACTACAAGAGGGATGAGAGATATGAAAATGAGTCTTATATATCCGGAAAACATATTGGATTGCAAAAACGAATTTCGGACAATTATCCACCAGCTTTGTTTATGTCATGCAATGTGCATACATTAGATTTGGCAATGCAGCTAAAGTTTCGTTATAAATTGTGGATTTTTTTAGAACTGTATCAGCGATGTATAATTTCTTCAGTGGTTAACCATTTTGATGGCAAGTTTTAATGAAAAATGTAAAATCTTTACCATTAAAACAGATTAGTGAAACTTGGTGAGAATTAATTCAATTAGACCACTGCAACATGAATTAGGTGAAATTTACGATAGCCTTATAGAAATAGCTAAAGAATGTTCAATGCCAACAGCTCAACATGAGGTTGAATGTTTAGCAATAAAATTTAAAACTTATAAAATTATTTGTTCAATAATAAGGAGCGAAAATGTAGATGTAATTAGTAAAACGATGCAAAAAGTTTCTTGGAATATCAGTTCATGTGCTGAATCGATTATGGAAGTTTTGAAGTTTTTCAAAAGCATTAGAAATGATAAATGTTTTGAAAATTATTTGAATATTTCTAATGAAATTTATAAAGCAGTTCAAACAGAACCAGATTTCTCTGCTGAAATTAGTGATAGTTGCTGTCGTCAGCGAAATTAATTTAGCTATAAAGGAGAAGAAGATATTTAATTTACTCTGAAAGAAAGTTTTTAAATTACCACCCATCTTGAAACTTAGTCAAATTTCAAACAATATTTTGGATTTCTCTACAAATTTATTGATATGGATGATGAAAAAATACATAAAAGTTGTTTTGATCCTCATAATAAATTTAAAGATGGTGAATCCTGTGAAATCAATGATGAGGAATTGTATATAGAAAGAGTTTTATTGAAAATAATCGCAAAAGTAAAAAAGCAACCCGAAGAACTCCTAAATTTTTTATATAAATAGAACTTGGAGGCGTCTTTTTTAAATTTCATCACGAGTTTAAAATGTTTTCCAACAGTTTCAGTTTCTGTTGCTTCAGAAGAGCGAAATTTCTCCTAACTGAAAATAATTAAAAATTACCAGAAGACATCCATGACACAAGAAGGTCTCGGTAATGTTCAATTATTGCAATAGAAAGTGATATTGCTGATTTGTTAAATGTTCAAGAAGCAATTGAACAATTTGCTTCCATAAAATTGCGTGGGGGTAATTTTTAATTTCATTTTAATATGTAAATGTTAATGTTACATGTAATTTTGTAAATATAAATTAAAAATTAAATTTTTTTTTTTTTCTTTGATATTTGTTACCTCGAAGGACGGCCATACATACCAGCACGCAGCTGGCTAAATGCCCAGGCACAGCCCTGCATATATATATGTATATATATATATATTATATTATATATATATATATATTTGTATATATATATATTTATATATATATATATTATATATATATATATATATAATATAAATATATTTATATATATATTATATATATATATATATATATATATATATATTTTTTATATATATATATATATATATATATATATATATATATATATATATATATATATATATAATATATACATATATATAATATATATATTTGTGAATGTATATATATTATATATATATATTTATTTAATATATATATATATATATATATATATATATATATATATATATATACATATATATATATATATATATATATATATATATATATATATATATATATATATATATATATATATATATATGTATATATATATATATATATATATATATATATATATATATATATATATATATATATATATGTACATATATATATCTATATATATATACATATATAATAAGTAAGTTGATTTTAATAAAAAGGCAGCATATAACTATTTTTAAGTATATTTTGATGTAAAAATATATTAACGATATTTCGCTGACCTATTGTGGTCAGCGTCATCAGGTAATAATAAAATGTTACAAAATAACATAAAACAAACCGTTTAAAAACAAGACAAAAAAGTGTCAAATATAAAAACCAATTAAATAATATGACAATGACATCAGTTGAATTTTTTGTCAAAATGGGTCCCCAAGTTCTTGTTTTAACTTTATCCCCGTTATCTCGATTTAGAACACCTTCCCCAATACCTATCTCATCGAACTTTCGCTTTGTTTATCTCCTGATTCTTGAAACTAAGAAAAAAGCAAAAAAGTGAACTAAGAAAAAATAAAAAGAAATTTAAGAAACCTTAAAAAAAAGAAAGAAAAGAAAAATTAAAAGAAATTTAAGAAAAAATGAACTAACTAAACTAAGAAAAAAGAAAAAATGGTTAAAGCACACAAACCAGAAAAAGCTACCCAATGCGTCCTGTTGTTTCTACTATTAACACCTCCTTATGGAACATCTGAGTATCTGGTTAAAAATATCCAACCAACATTAAAAAAAAAATATAATTTGACTAATTAATTTCAGAAACTTTGTTAACGATGCTATAGAATAGAAGATAGGATTTATTTATACATACATATATTTATATATATATACATATATATATATATATATATATATATATATATATATATATATATATATATATATATATATATATATATATATATATATATATATATATATATATATATATATATATATATGCATTATTTATATATACATATATAAAACAATTTCAACTGTTTGAAAATGTTTTTCTTTTTTAGTTGCACCAAGAGATAATTGCACAAGGTAATATTTGAAAACATATTATTGTTTGCACCCTAATTCAAAAGCTCATTTTATTCTATTCATTGAAAACTAGCGTGTTAATCAGTTTTTGAAACCAGAAAAACTTAATAAGCTGAGTTTGTGTTGATATTTAAGATTTTTTTGCAATTTTGTTTAGATTCCCACCTTTGTTTGATGGCTTCAGGTAAAAACTGTTTGGAACAGAGTTCAGAAATAGTAACAAACACAAAACAAGAACATATATTCTTATCCTGCAAAGTTGACACAGATTATATTAAAGTCTCTCAAATAAGATGGACAAGAAATAACAAGGAAATTAACTTGGGTCCACCCTACACAATTACATGGGAGAAAGGAAAAGTGTTAATGATTCGTCCAGTGATTATTGGCATCACTGATGGGTATTACGAATGCATTGCAAGTTTAGGAACAGTTGAAATAAAAAAAAGTGTCAAAATTATTGTAAAAAATGGTAAGTTTTTATATTCATTTAATACCGATTGTTTTCTCTCTAGTTCATTAATTTTACATTTGATAGCAACCAATTCATATTTGATAGCAACCAATTGATATTCAATAACAACGAATATTTTTTTTTGGTTCAATAAATTTGTATTTCTTTAGTAAGTTTCATTTTTTATTTTTTTATCTCAAGACTCAAAAGAAAACAGCAGAGGTGGAAAGTAACAAATTACATTTACTCATGTTACTGTAATTGAGTAGCTATTTTGTGAATTTCTACTTTTTAAGTATTTTTTTAAATGTGTACTTTTACTTTTACTTAAGTTATTTTTTTCTAAAGTATTTTTCTTCGCTAAGTTTGAAATCACATGCATTACTTAGTAAAAAATTTATTATGTATTGTTTAATTTCACAAATTCTATGATTTAATTTTTTTGTTTTTTTGAGTTTTGATTTAATTTTTTTGTTTTTTTGAAAAGAATAGACTACGTGATTCTTATTTTATTATTCAACAGCTTTGTTATCTGAAAAAGTAACACAGTAACTTTTACTCTAAGTACATTTTTAATTAGCTACTTTACTTTACTTTTACTTGAGTAAACTTTTCGACCAGTAACTTTTACTTGTATTTAAGTAAAATTTCACTCAAAAAACAGTAATTTTACTTGAGTACAATTTTTTTTACTTTTTCCACCTCTGAAAAACAGCAATAAGTCAAAAATAAGTCATATATTTTTAACTATTAGGATAGAATAAGAACATTTTTTATCTTGTTTTTATTGTTTTGCAACATTTGTTTGTAGTTGAATTTTGGAAAAGTCTTTAAAGTCAATCATAGAAGTTTAAAGCAAGTTTATGAAAAAAAATAATTATCTGAAAAATCAGCTTTAATGTTTGCAGAGATTCTCAAGAAAACTTTATTTAGATTATAGTATACAAAGTGTAAAAATAAATTTATCAAATTTAAAAGTCTTGTAATTATTTATTTTTAAACATTTGATATAAGGATTTAAAATTTAAAATATTTGGTTAAACGTTATATTAACAAATAGGTAAGTTGTTTGTAAAAGTTTAACTATGTGATTAATAGAGTTGTGGAGTTTATCTAATTTAAATTAGTTATATTAAATTTAAATTATTCTAATTTAAATCATACTAATTTTAATTATCCTAATTTAAATTATTATTATTTTTTTATATTACTCTATTATTTATTTATTTATATATTTTATATTTATATTTTATTTAATTTATATTACTCTAATTTATCTCCGTAGATCTCCGTAGATCCTGTTTAGATTTTATCTTAAGCAATGCAAATTTTGTTGTTAGTGGAAATATTTCACTAATTTGGACCTCAATATATTACACTTTTGCTAATAAATGATAATAAATTCAAATTGATAACGCTAATAAATTTATGGTAAATTTTGCATGGTAAAAATAACGTTTTACAATGATACTTTTTTTATCATTCGACAATGAGAAAAAGCGTAACTTTTGGAAGCATAAAACTAACTTAAATAAATTAATTTTAGTATTAAAGGTATATTTTAAAAACACTTTTATGTGTCTACATTAATATTCAATTGCTAAAAGCTGGTGGAAAAGAGAATAAAATTTGACTACGTTTTCATTTTCTGTGGTGGAATTGCCCATATATATATATATATATATATATATATATATATATATATATATATATATATATATATATATATATATATATATATATATATATATATATATATATATATATATATATATATATATATATATATATATATATATATATATATATATATATATATATATATATATATATATATATATATATATATATATATATACATATATATATTTATATATATATATAGATGTTATTAACAGTGCATATAATTATTTATATAATTTTTTACTATAGAGTTACCAAGTGGTTTTCCGATTATTAAAGCACACCCTGTAGATATACGCCAACCTGAAAGAAAAATTATTGATTTTAAATGTGAGGTTTCTGGTAAACAACCACTGCAAGTAGTATGGTTTCACAACAGGATCCCAATTACCTGTAATAATAACCATCATGTATGTACATACAGTGTATCGGATCATAGTGATTTTACATCCAACTTGAGCCTTCGCAATGTATCAAACTCTCACACTGGATTTTACCAATGCGCTGCTTTTAACGAGTATGGACAAGCAGTATCCTATCAAGCTATGTTTACTGTGGCTCCCAAAAGAATTAGGAAAGTAAGTTTTTTTTTAAATTATTTTTTAAGTTTATTTGAATCAAGTAAGAGATTAAGATTAATTTAAACAAAACAAACAAATGTTATTAAATGAGTGCAAATTTAAAAGACAAAAAATTGTATGAGTAGAAATTAAAAAGATAATAAGGCTGCTTATTAAAAAAAATAAGACCACATAGACAACATTTGAAGCTCATTTAAATAATAATTTTAAAGACTAAACATAAAATGAGAATAAACATATGTAACTATAAAATATATAACTTTATTTGTGTTATTTTTTGTTAGGGCCTTAATCTCATGTTTTTAGAAAAGAAGGACTGTTAAAAAACTATATTTTTGTAAATAAAAATTCGAACACAAGTTAAAACTAAAAAGTTTATTCCTTGTGTGAAAATTACAAAATAACAAATAATCTTATGGATTAAAATAATTAAAATAATTAATAGGACCATAGAAAAGTCAGAACATAGGCAGGGGCAAACCCAGACCTGTTTTAGTACTGCTGGAGCGGTATGGGCCCCCCCAAAAAAAGTACTTAAACATTATTTTCAATTTTTTAACATTTCTTTTACTTTTTTATTAAAAATAGAAAAAAATAAAGATTACAATAACTTAATAAGAGTTTTATTAAAATCTGTTTAAAATAAATCATAGTAAATGTAACTTATTTGTTAAACAAAACTTTTTTAATTATTCTTATTGATTAAAAATTGTTTTATATTTTTAAAATACAATATGTCTTTTAAAATATACTATGTTTTTTAATCAAAAAAGTATAACATTTTGTAAGTTATGGTTACCGTAATTATCTCTTTTTTAATTATCTTTAGTTTAAAATGCACCTTAAAGTCACTTTAAAAATTATTAAATACAAGACGTAAAACTATTTTGTTAATTTTACAAATATGACACAATTTGATTTATATAAATATATTATGTAATGTAAATATTAATTAAATATTGTTTAAAGTATTTGAAAATTTAACTCTTTTTTATTATTTAGTTGTTTAAAATATTAATAACTACTACTAGATAAAATATCATTATTAAATGTTTAAAATACCTTGAACAATTTTTAATAATTATTTACTAATAGCAACTAAATTGGTATTTGCAACAAAAGCGTTAAAGTCGTAAGTCGTAAGTTAAAGTTGTAAAAGCGTTTATTAAAGATGTAAGTAAAATAGTTTTCTTATTGTAACTATAGTAACATAGTCCACTGGTAAATTCATGTATTCAAAAAAATGCCTTTAAATCAATTCCTTATTATAGGATAAAACTAAACAAGATGAACACAAATGATCAAAATATATAATAATTAATAAAATGATGGCTAAAAATCATTTTCGCGGCACCAATTTTAAATAGGGGAGGGGGAGAAGAGAGGTGAGGTTAGGTGGAGTGGGGGTGGTAATCTTAAACAACACCCCACCCCCACCCAATATTGCTAAAAAAAAGAAATATCCCTAAATAAACTTTTGGTTCTTCACTAATAGGAGTATTACAAGTAAAAAATAAACCATTGGTAAGCCTTGTAATAAATAAAAAATGCCGTTTGTGATTTCATTAAAATTTTTTTTTGTATTTCCTATTTTAGGACATTTACTTTTTTAAGCTGTAATTTACCTCAATGATAAAAACATTTGAGTTAAGAAATAACTAAAAATATTTTGTAATGTTAGTATGAATTAATAGAATAAGATATTTATTTTGCTTGTGGTTATTTAAAATATGAAGTAGTATATTTTCTTCTTAAAGCGACTCCCAAATTCCAAAACAAGTAAATAATTTATAAATAATTATTAGAAAATAAGTTTTGAGTTAATTAAAGTTAAACAAAATTATTTATTGAGATATTAACAAAAAACATTTGTTATTTTGCCATTATGTTTCCAGTTGAGAGGTTAGAATTAACTTCATGAATCTGCATAGTTTTTTTTATTGTAAAAATATCTGATTTGATTAATAAATGTACTTACAGGCTTAGTCAGGATGGTGTGGTCATATAATGGTGTGTGATCGCATGCCATTATATGTTTACGCAAAAAGTTAGTTTTGATGATTTGACCTCAGCTAATATTTCAAAAACGCGCTGTATAAAAAATATTTTGAATTATACTTTACTTTTATCTTTAGTAATGTTTTTATATTAGCTTATAATATGTAGCTGTAATATTATTATAACTTTTTTAATAAAGTTATAATTTACTAAAAATAATTTTTGTGTGGTGTATCAATGAGAGTTGTATATCATTTTTTAAAATTTATTTTATATAAATTAAATAAGTATGCATTTTTTATAAAAAACATTATTAAAAATTAAAGTAATTTTGTTTTAAAAATACCTTTTTAACAAAGATAGTCTCTTTAACAGGGATGCAGGGTCCCAAAAATGGACTCCTGATTTCAAAGTTAAAAAAAGATTTTGAAATCAGGACAACTTTTATGCTACAATTGGAAAGGAAGGATTCAATAATCTTATAGATGTTACCTGATACACCGTAAGAAGAAAGCTTATGTAAAAGTCCAGCATGCCAAACTTTAATTAAAGCTTTAGAAATGCCAAGAGCGATAGCCTTAACCTTCCCATCTATATCTAATGCACTATAAAACATAGATGATTTTTTCCGGAAATTCCTGGAATTCCGGAAATTCACTTAAAACACCTTTAATTTTTCCAGAAATTTCCGGATGTTCCGGATGAAAAAAAGTTAATATATTTTTACATAAAGTTTTACATACAACAACTTTTGCATTTAAACAAATACGTTTTCTATAATTAAAATTTTCACGAGATCAATTTTCGTAACAATTTTTTTTCTTTTTTTTTTTTTTTGCTTTTTAATTCATTCAAACTTTTTTTGAATATTAGAAGTTCCTTTTTGTAAAAGGTTAAATAATCTAAATTCCGTTTTGAAATAATCTAAATTTCGTTTGTCAGTTAAATGCGATCACTTTTTAATCAAATAACTTTCCGGGATTTTCCGGGATTATCATAAAAAAAAAATTTCCGGGATTTTCTTAAAGTCAAATACTTATCTATGATAAAAACTATCAGTAGCAAATCAGCTGTAGAACAAGTAGATTTAGATTTAAGATGAGTGATTATGTATTTATTTATTAAAGATTAAAAAACCCTGCTGAATGATAGGAAGGAGATTAATGGGATGAAGGTTTGAGGAGTCAGATCACTCTCCAGAGTTTAAAAAAATAGGGATAACAGATGTTGCTTTCCAGCAGGCTGGAAAACAAGATTCTGATAAGCACTTATTAAATAGTTTTGAAAGTATAGACAACAACTCTAGAAAACACTTCTGCAAGACTAAAACAGAAATACAAGATTTCATGGCCTGAGATTAAGTGCCTTTTAAACTAAAGATAATTAAAGAAGAGACAAAACCTTTTTACAATGGTTTCTAGCAATAGTAAACAGATGTCTGTTTTTTAGAGAATTGTTTTGCTGTTAGATATGGAAGTAATGGTTTCTATTGGAAATTGCAGCAGCACAATGTGAGGAAAACCATGGAGAAGAGTGAGACTTGTTTTGGAATTGTCGAGAGGGAATAAAAGATTCCATGCCAGTCTGAATCCAAGAAGTTATGTAAGAAGCACATTTGTTTGCAGGGTAGTTCCATGTCAAATGAAACAGAAAATTTTAAAAATGTCACACTATATTTCAGATTTTACTGATTTTTACACAGTTGAGAGTACTTATTAAAATTAGAATATCTTGAAAATTTTAACCTCTGGCTCCAAGAAGATCCTGAAGTATGACCATTTCACTTTTAGCAGATACTGGCCAGGTTCCTCTTGTCCCCTTAGAATTGCAACATTTATTTAGAGGTTTCAAGTCATAACTTTAAAAATATTTGATATTTTTACTTAAAAATTTGTACCAAGCCATTTTCAAGGGTGGTGAATCCAATTAAATGACCAGAAATGTAAAAAATTATTTTTAAGTGCCTGTATTTACCAATTTAAATAAATTTAGGCAACTTTTTATATACCAGATTTTGATCCTCAAGAAACCCATGTGGCTTTAATGATATCAAAAAGTTATATAATACACATCATTCATTGATCTTTCAAAAAATATAATGATTTTGATCTGCAAGTATATGGATTATATATATATATATATATATATATATATATATATATATATATATATATATATATATATATATATATATATATATATATATATATATATATATATATATATATATATGTATATATATATATATATATATATATATATATATATATATATATATATATATATATATATATATATGTGGATAATATAGCACGGTTCCTACTTTTTTGTAGCGGAATATTGCAATTAACTTTTCACTAACTTACAGACTAGCCAGAGCTCTGAAAAATTTATCATTCTGTAGTGCCAATGAACATGCATGTTGAAGTTTTTCAGGGCCCAAGACACCAAAGGAGGGGGGCTGGGTCATGAGTACACTTTTTTGAAGCGGAACCTTGTGATAGATTTTTTACTACTTTTCAGACCAACTGGAGCTCTGAAAATTTCAGCATTTGTGTAGTCCTGATCAATGTGTGTTAAAATTGTTTCCAGGGTAGAGACCAGAGGGTTCATCAGGCTGGGGCACTAGGGGTCAAGCACCACTTTTGTCAAAAAAAAAAATTTTTTTTAGCATTTTTTAATAAAGTAATGATAATTTTAAAAATATTGTCTTCAAAATATTTTTTTTGTTTATATTTGTTCCATTCAGTTTTTAATCATTCTGTATTGGTCTTTTGTAAAATGTTTTATGATAAATATGTTTTATAGTACATATGTTTATATAATTTTTGATTTGCAAGTATATGGATTAAAAACAGTCATCCATCTAAAATTATGATTTTAACAGAATATTACATTGTACAATTTAAAATTTTTTGAATTAAAAAGAAATTAGATATAACAACATTGATCTGTCAGACAACAACAGTTGAAGAATACAAGTTGATGTTATCAGAGGC